CGCCCGGCCCGCCGCTCTCCCCGCGTGCGGCTCCCGGTCCCGCTCCTCCTTCCCGGGCTCCCCCCTGGCCGCGGCCCGGCGGCAGCGAGTGAGGGGCCGCGGGGGCCAGAGCGGCAGCGGCTGGGGAGGTAAGGCCCCTGCGGGCAGAGCTCCAGCCCTGCCTGGTCCAGCTGCGTGGCGTGCGTGGCCGGCGCAGCCGGCGCAGCCCGCCCGGTTACCGGCCGTGTTGCTTAGAGAGCCCTTTGATGAAGCGTGCCGTGATGAACTTTAATGTCATTATGTGCTTTCACGTTTGAAGTAGTTTTATATTTCTAACAGAGTACTTTAAATTTGACGAAATAGTGTTTCAGTGATGATTTCTGTAGAAGTGCTGCTGACCAAAGTAATAAATAGAATGTGAATCGAATCGTGACCTAATAAATAAGGTGTTGTTTACTGACTGAAACGTAGTAAGGTTAAACGTATCTATTAAATATATATAGATAGATACAGCTTACACAAAGGTATATCAAATTATATTAATCTTTAAGGGTGGTATCCGAAAAGTAAAAATGCAGGCCAAGCTTACTTTAGCGTTTTAGTCACAACTTTCTCCTTGATGACTGAAGCTGGTCATTTCAGCTTGCCCACTGAACGTAATAAAGATCTGTTCAGGAAACTTATGGCTAAGGCAGTTTTATGAATATCTATATGGTGCATCTATCTGCCTTAAAAAATTAATACTTTAGTACAATTGGGCAATAGTAAAAGGCGTTACAGATGCACGTATTTAGATGGACCATTGCAACACTTCAGTGTAGTCAAACAGAAACGTGAGTTTCTATTTTGTCACTGACTTAACTGTGAAGTAGCCATCTGAATTCTTTCTTAGTTTGGGGGTAATTGACTCTTAGCTCTCTTCAGTGTTTGTGAGGAACAAGCATAACAACTGCAAGTTTAACCTCTGTTTTGTTGTTTGTCCTACAGAAGTGCAAGCATGGCATCCATGGAAGAAAACTTTCCTCGAGGGGGCATCCAGAAAAAACCCACAGAGGGAAAAGCCCCCAACCCAAAGTTAGAGCGGGACAATTTGTTTGATGTATGTTGCTTGTGTGTTCTTGATTAACTCTTCTCAGAGCTCTTCCACTGTCAGAATATGACCCGCAATCCTTCCCATCCCTTACTTCTATAGTAAACTATAGAAGGGACTTCCAGAAAGAGATAATTGCTGACATGCACCTTTCTTCTGATCTGTTAAAGATCCCTGATGTCTGATGCATGTTGAATGTGATGACAGAAAAAGCTCAATCAAAATTATGGGTCAGGGTTTAGCTTTTAAACTTTCCACAAGCATCTTGTCCCGATGTTAATGGATATAGGCTAAGTTTGGTCTTTCTTTTTCTGTTTAGTGGAGTGTGGTGCAGATCACTTGCGCCACTCTTTTCCATTCCCAAGATTCACAGTTTTATAAATGATCGGCCTTAGCCCAAAAGGTGGTGTTTTGGAAGACTTGCATGTAGACATATAGCAGTCAGCAAGGTCATTCTCTTTTTTTTTTTTTTTCCCTCGAATCCTAGTATTTTCTTCTAATATTATTCCTGGCAGCGGAGTTCTGCCTTAGTGCAAAGTTTGTCTTTTTATCCACTTTTGGTTTTTTCCTCCCTGCTTTAGATTCATCATGATGAACGATCCCAGAAAAGAAAAAGGAGCCAAAGGGATCAAGGAAAGCAGAAAAAGTTCAAGGCAGATAAAATAGCTGCTGCTAAAGACAACATTGTGAATATTGAACCACTCACAATTGAGGTTTGTGGATAAATGTTTGATTTTGTGTGCATCTGTCTTCTCGGCTGCATAAAAATGGCACTTCTTCCTCACTAAACCTGTAAAATACATCAGTGATTTGGGACACAAGTGTGTTTACCACCCTGTTATCACTGACTTGCCAAGATATCCACTGTATGCTATTCTTCCTGCTTTCCCCAGGCACTCTGTGAGGGGATGCTGCTCCTTGGTTGTATAAAAGAGGTCAGTGACTACGAGCTAGTCATCAGCTTGCCCAATGGACTTTCAGGATTTGTGCCAGTCACGCAGATCAGCGATGCCTACAGCAAAATGCTGAGCAAGCAGGTGGCCCAAGGAGAACTCCTGGAGGTGAGACCTTGGATTGGGGCTGTGATTTGTGCATGGGACCTAGGGAGTATTAATAATACCTGAAGAACCAACCCTGAGGTCTTGTTTAGGAGCCTGGTTTCTGGTGTCTCGCAGCTGACTTGAATTGGATCACCTGCAGTGCCTTAGCCTTGGCTAAATAGTCCTTGAACTTCATAGACAGCCTGTTGAACATGAAGAGATTTGTGCTGCCTATCTGCTGCTGAAGCTAAATACTGATCCCTGGCTGTAGGCAGTGGTGGGAAGAAGTTAGGGAAGTGGTTGGAAGATGATGTGAGGGCATGGGAATTAGCATGGTCCTTGCAATTTCATTGTGTGTTACTGCATGCAACGTGCTGCTGCATAGTGCTAACGTAGACTGGCCTTAGTTTGGAACTGGCTTTTCCAAGCAAACTTTGCCATTTCCTGGTAATGATGACAGAACGAGGATGGAGTAATCTGTTGCCCTGTCTCTCTGGTGTCAGTGCTCCATAAATTTTTCCAAGGTGGTGTGGAATGTGGTATCTGCCAGGTGTGCTAGCCTTTTGGTGGTAGTGGTTTTCCCTGCTAAAAGTGGAGGTGAGGTTAGGGTCACTGTGGGCTCTGTAGACGTGTTTTCTGAGCTGCAACCTCCTGACTCCGGCCCACACAGTGTTCCTTTTTAAGCAAAGCCTACTAGACTTGCTAACATCATGTAATGTCATCCCTGCCTCTATATTGAGATCCTGGTGTTTGTGGCATTTCCTGTCTTTTATTGTATTGTTGACAGAGAAACAGGACTTTCCTATGGGAGTTTGATTT